ACGAGAAACAAATCATTTTCGGAGAAAAAAAAATTCCCGCTTATTTCTCTTCCATTCGATTATGTTCTATGAGTAATTTATGTAATTTATGAAGGAATTTGCAGTTTTTAAATACCATATGTCATACATTCTTCTTGACGTGGGTTTTGAATATATATTTATTAACATAATATATACACACACACATTGGATTTATATTACGTAATTATATATATTAAGTATATAATTATTAGACCAAAAAGCTAATAATTTTGTTTTGGCATTTTGCGTCGATTCACTTTCTGCGTGCTTCACTTTTCAAGACTGATTGCACCAAATATTGCAGCTCTGTATTCTGTTTAAAGAAATTAAATAATGAAGAATCTGCATAAATGTATGTATGTTTCTCGCATTGTGATAAAACAACGGTACCTGGAGACGTCAAATTTTGATTAGCGTAATCCTACACCGAATATGGGCATCTGGAAGCCCTAATTTGGAATTTAGTTTATTACCTGTTTCATATTTTGTCAGACATTAAAGAATTTTTGATTAACAAACTCAACGATTTCAAAGCGAGAAATGGCAACACTGTAGAAAACAAAATTTATTTTCTGCAGCGCGCGAGACTTTGTATCGGAAATTCTAAAGATATGCTCGGTTTAAAATTATTTTGAGATATTGCTGTTGAATTGAATTTTATGCTTGAAGTGAGAAAAACATGATATTTAATAAAGGAAATAGTTTACTATCACATTCTCTTCTATTCTATTCTATGTCACGTGAGAGAGGGGCGATGCACGCCGTTCGGTTAAAATGCGCATGCGTGGTCATCAAGTCATCTCACCATATTTTACTCGAAAATAATACCCACCCTTTTTTTGCTGTATTTTGTTCTAAAATTTGACAGGGTCTAATAAATGGGTACTTTAATAAGTGAAATTGCAGAATCAGAGGCAGGAATTTAATTTACAATACTATATAGAATACTTGCACTGTTTAAGAAATACATAGCCACACAGGCAAACACTGAATATATAAACATCATAAATATCACAAATTGGAAACGCCACATCTAGTTGATCGATGTTAAGCACTATGTTAAGCACTATGCCTCAAAGCAGGTGGGTAATAATGTATTGTTAATTTTTCCTATTTTTTGCCTATATCACAGTAAAATATTGAATTTAATTAACTAGCTTGTTTTTTATTGTAAACAAAAGTAAATGAAACCTAATCAGACACATGTTCCCTTGGAAATATTTACTTACATTTTTATTTCTTAAAATGTATACTAAAATTTAATTTGGGGGGCTGAGGATCTTGCATTTGAGTGAGTCTTAGTTTCGAATAAATATTGCGTATGCCATTATTTATTTCATTAAGTCGATAGTAGTATTAAGTCCTTTAATTAATAATAATATTAAAATCTTAGAAGTGAATATGTAGTCTTTTAATTATGTATTTCACGTAGGACTTCCAATCACTTGGCTTTTTGAGATGAAAATTCTTTATGATGGCACAATTAGTGGGCTAGATTTCCTTTCTCTACACAAAGGGAATAAATATCTTTTGATCGTTTAATGGAAAAAGATGAAAACATTTGTTATTTATTAGCATTCGGCTATTCATCAATCAAAAGTGTCTAGCCATCTTTTTCTATATGTCTGTTCCAATCCCTTATTCTTTTCGGGGAGTAGAGCATTTTCCGAAAGCTTTCGTCATTCTTGTGCTATACAGCATGTTCGAATAAATTGCTACATTCTTTCTTTCTTTAAATATTGTTGTGCATTTGCATCTGCAGAATTTTTCCAAATTAGGTTACATATTTTTATCAAAACATTTTCTAAATTAGAGTGAAATATTTATAAAATTTCTAAATATATTGCTAATTATGTGCTTTAAAGGAGCAGCTAAAATGTCAATATCGATTGCTTTTAAGTCACTGTTCAATATAAGCTGCCCGTTTTTTATAATGTATCCCTAAATTTGACGAAAATAGGTTCAAAACTGATTAACAATAAGTATGTGGAAAGATCTAATTTGGTAAATTCGTTTCTGAACATTTCAGCAAATTTTGCACTTAAAGCTAGAGAAATTTTTGTATTTAATTTGTTATAGCATAATGAACATTTTACATATTTGCTTCTTTGATCTAGAGGACCATATAAAATATTAAGCTTCATATTTATACAATTTTCCTCAACTTTCATTATTAACAAACAAAACGAAACTAATCTACAAGATATGTTGTTGCTGTGACTTAACTCGCTTGTCAGAAATCAAAGCAAAGGCACAAGTAACAGTACTACTGAGTAAGAGAATCCCGGAGTCCGAAGGTCTCCACTCCACTAGTCTCTTCCTCTACCACCAGTCTCTCGAGAGACTTTCGGCTCGATGCATATTTAGAGCCATCATGCCGCACAAACGCTATACGTTTACAAACATATCTATACGTTAGAACCTTCTCCGAGATTTAAACGCGGGCTTCCTTCCATATGATAGTGAGAGTCGCTAACCACTCTCCCAGTTGGGCAGCTTCTACAACGTATTAAAGAACTTACCTAGCTGCATGCATCAGTAGAGAACCTACAAAAAATGATTAAAAGTATTCAAGATAGATTAGTTTCTTTTTCGCTATTTTGGGGAAAACAGCATTTCAATTTCCTTAAGCGAGTCAAAAATTGGTAGAAAGAAAAAGGGCGTAGATGCAAGACTGAGTTCGTATTTAATTCCAGCGCTAAAAAGTAGGACTGATGAAATCAATACTAAGCAGCAGCAAATTCCAATTAAATTTAGTCACTGAACCCTTTCACTTTTTGTACAATGTAATGAACCTCTTAAATATTTTTAGCGCAGCACATTAGGAAATCAATACGCAGTAAACTGGAAATTTCCTTGCTCTGTTCCATTACTTTTAAATTGAAAAGGATTTTTTACCAGAAATCACGTGCATATTCTTTTCTCTTTCATTTACATATTTAGTTCATTACGGAAAAGACATGAAGGCTATCTGCCTAAGGGGAGGGATGCCTTCGTGGAGGTCTTTCTAAGGGAAACTGGCTTGTATACACTTTGGGAAAACCACGAAAACACCCATGCACCAGCCCGTTCGCCGAGATTCGAACCCCAGACCAAACTACCAGTGTTCTGGGACTTTACCGCTCGGCCGCTGGTGGACACATAAGTAAATAAAACCGCCCTATTATATTGGCCAATAAGCATCAAATTCATAATAACTTGTTCAGATCTTCTAATCAAATGTCATTGTACATATTCAATTTAAAGTCAATTCAAAGTAGGACTTTAAATTTAAAGCTAAATCTAAATATCGATTATCCCAAGGCTACGCAGAATCATTTAAATGCGAAAGTTGCTCCTAAAATTACGCCGGCATGAAAGTACCATTGGCAAGAATCAAGCAACACAAAAGACAGGAACTTACTTTAGAAGAGCAAACTAGTAATGTGGCCTTCAGCAGACAGAACACGCTCTGTCTAAACAACTTCAAAACGTCACTTAATTACGGGCGAGCCAATCTGCATTCTGGCGGGAAAATGAAAAAAGAGATGTGACGGTGCAGATTCAGAACATAAAATAACTGGTTAACTAACATAAATAAACCTCTTAAATGTTTTATAGAAGTGTTGAGCATAGAAGTAATGTTTTAGAATTGGATGTACGGCGAGACATTTTTTTAAAGATGTTGCTCGTAAGAATCAGCTCTTAGGCCTAGATCTACGATAAGCCCTTTTTTTAAAAGAAATATTTCGATTAGAGCATTTTTCCCCCCAATCTGATAAAATTCAACGAGTTACAGCCATTTATTCGTCTTTTCCTGGGAAAGCGGATTGTCAGTTTTATGAGTTTTCATGAACAGATAAAATCGCAGATGGGAAAGGTTTTAAAAATTGTGAACTTTTCTGAATCATTTCGATCGTTCAAAGAAACGCTAAGCAAAGCTTCATAAAGTCTGCTGTATTTCGTAGACAAGAGCACAATTCATAAATTACCATTAAAAGGTAATATATAAAATACGTAAGTGTATATGTTTAGTATACAAGTGTTCAGCAAACGTAATCATCCACAATATTGTGGCATTCGCTACATATACGTTTAACTCCAATAATTGAATCACGTAGCAAGCAAATTAATCTTAATCTATATTATTTTGCTGTAACCATTATTTTATCTCACTGAATGCCCAGACTCTAGAGAATATAGCTTAGAAATTCTTACCATTAGGGATATGCCATTTAAAATGTGTACATCTATAAATTAAATATTATTGCGTTACTTCTTCTGACACCAATTCGTACGGGGTTCGTAGATTTGGAGTGAATAACGACGACACTTGATGAAGTATCGAAACACACTTTTATTTAACAGTATTAATCAGATAGCTCCAAAATCACTTTTACAGTCGTCGAACTGTTATAAACAAGCTGACACGTTCAGCGACACAGCCTTCACACTGTCAGGCAATAACGGTGGAGACAGGCAATAACAGCTTCACCGCAAAGCACCCGAGTACAGCTCCCAACTCGGCTTGGTCGTTCTCGGAACTCCACGTACTCTCAAGACTCTCCACGCGATACACTCGACCATACACAAGATAACACTCGACGATACACAGAATAAGAGTATAGCTCTCGACTCAGCACAGTCTAAGACAAAACTCGACGATGCACTAAAAGACTCTCTACTCGCCCTCTCGACGAGGCACACACACTAACTGATTGCGGACCAGCAGGGTTTATATAGCTTTCGGCTTGTGTTCGAGAACATTCTGGGCTAAACCGGTAAGAATTCGTTCCAGAAGGTTCTTCATCCGTCCATGGTATATCGCCAATTTTTTCGCCAAATGGGCTATTTCTCGCCAAATGCAGCAACCCTGCCTTCCCTTACCATTTTATGGCAACCCTAAAAATGCTTTGCGGGGAAGCCATCCTACCGCGCCTGTACATTTCATAACAATATATTAGATTTAACTAAAAAATAATAATTTCATTTCGTTACAGAGTCCAGCCTGACGATTTGGGTTCTCATTTAAATGTCGGACGAGCGTACAACAGTCTCGGGATGACAGAAAAAGCTGAGCAAGCATTTTGGATGGTATGTATTATAATTCATGTTGCAACTTTGTAGAGTTCCTCATTTTGTAAGAGCTAATTTACATATGAACGTGAGAAATCTTAAGAACTGCTAAGCGAATAATCGCTTAAGTTCGTGTGACAAGAAAGAACAAGATGGAAGGGTAACTAACCCTTTATTATTTAAATAAGATTTAACAGAACTCCGTCTTGGAGTGTACAATAAAAGCCGACATTTGGGCTTGAACTTAAGAGGCTAAGAAGTAAACTAAAACAAATTTTACTAAAGAGATATAGCCGAAGCTATCAAAGTGTTAATGCAGTTGGCCCTTTAAACACGAGATGACTGCGAATCTATTAAGGGCCTGAGTACGGCCGAGCGTAATAACAGCTTTGAGAGAAAGTAGCCAAAAAGCAGACGCGCGCAAATCAGAAACTCTGATTCTCTCTAACTCAGCAAGTAGAACTTCGCGGTTAAATACCGCTCTTCCTCATAATGTATTCAGAGTGATTCTAAAACTACGTTCTGGCCGGAAGCAGTAAGTTGAAGTTAAGAAATTGACAGGAAAAGAACTTAAAATTTAACTGTTAAAAGAACTTAAAATTTAACTGTTAATAAAATTAACATAATCCTTACAACTTAAACCTACGGTACCAGATTTAAGTTTAAATCGACTGCATTTACCCAATGTTAAATTTAAAAACTATAATAATTGCATTTATGTGGTTTCGAATTATAAATAATATTCAGAAAATGAGGTTTTATCTACTCAGAAGCACAAATGTTTTGCTTGCAATAGTAACAGATTTGCCCATTTGCCTGTAAAGAGATTATTACTCTATTTTCTTATTTTTTCTTATTTATTTTCTATTTTCTCATTTATTTTTCTATTTTCTTATTTATTTGTTCCTCTATTTATCTGTAAAGAGAACTGTATTTTTTTAATTAAATTTTTAAAAAATTTTGGTCACTGTCAATTGCTAAAACATATACGCTACTTTTTTTTAATTTCAGTAAATAAATGTAAAATTACATATGAATAGTCTAATGTTATTAGTTCCGACTAAATATGCAATGGCGCAATCTGTTTAAATATATTAACGTTTACATTAGGAAATATCAACCTTATTAAGCATTAAACCTTCATGCTACAAATCTTATTTGAATTTAATTTACAAATAATAGCTTTTATATTTCAGTGTTAGTTAGTTCTCTAGAACGAAATGAGAAATTAAAGCACTAAATTTCAGAAAAAGATTTATTAATCTAATGACAAATCTTAACATATTCCATACATAAGGAAAGTGTTTTACTAATTTTTCAGTTTTCGTTGTGGCAATAGGTATAATTGAAAAATAAATATACTGCACTGGTATGCCCTGAAAATGAAGCATTTATATTTGAAAACTATATGTCTGCGTTTATAACTATGATATCCCTCAGAATCAACTCTGGAAAGTACCTGAATTTGAAGTGATACGTTAGAATCATTGTATAGCAAAATATCCAACAAAATTATTTATACCAATGTACGACATTATATGTCTCATATTAAGGATATGTCTTCCTCATCTCATTCTTTCAGTCTGAACTCAGGTTTTTACTCTGATATCTTTCGTTTGGAGGAATTTTAAGCCAGTAAGGGGGTGGGTATAGTTGCACAACCCCCTAGTTGTTGTGACACTCCCATATGCAGAATTTCAACGTTCTACGGCTAATCGTTTTTGTGGTATGTGAGATACACACATACGTGCGTACGTATAGAGGTCACGAAAAAAATCCCTTTTGAATCCATCTTAAATCCATTTTACAAACAGTTTTGGAAAATCTGTTACTTAAGAATGTTAGAATAAAAACGAGAAATTATTAAGTTCGGATCAAATGTCATTTATTTTTGTCTTCTCTCTTAAACAAAAAATGTTGAAACACGCTTGAAATGCCTTAAGGATCGCATATACCACCACATACAGGGTGCTCATTCCGTTGATAACCATTACTTAACATCTTGGTGGCTAATTTGTCTTCAATGTATTGTGATCAAAACCTTGGACTTCACTTCCGTACTACAGTTTTAGTATGCGGAAATGGGATTTAAGACATATTACTCCTCTATACAAATTGTTAGCGAAAACTTTATGTGACGTGTGTGATATTAGCAATAATCGAATTGGTTTTTAGAGACTAAGTCTCTGTGTAGTATAAAGTAACATCATTCAAAATAGCGTAATAGTTTCGAGCTGCATACAGTGTTAAAGGATTTTTCTACCAACCCGCGCATTGAGATAATTGAGCTAAGAAAGAAACGCTCGTTTCATTGATCAGAAATTGATGCCACAACAACTTTATTTATCAGGCTGTAGGGTACTATACTGTGTAAGTCCAACTTAGAATCTACTTAAATTGATTAACTTAGATCTACTTAGATTTAAACCCTACTTAGATTGGCAAGCCAGTTATCGGTCCATCTGTGAAAGTACTACAAAATCCTGAACTTAATAAAATACACAGCTTGTGTGTACAAATTTAACTGCGCCAGTTGTGGGTAGTAGAAAACAGAAACTTGAGTTTATAAATTTAAATGAACTTGTAAAGCCAGAGAATATATTATAAATGGCCTAACTAAGCATTGGCTCAAATTTATAACTGCGCGCTCTAACTTCGGCTAAAAAAATTGCGAATTCCAGAATACTAACTTAGCAGGCTGTGCGAGAGATAGTATAACTGCGAACGTCGCTGCTTCCAAAAGTTCTATATCTAAAACTTTAAAGAACTCTGCTTTAAATAGTCATAACTCATTTTCCTTCTGATGAAAGCTTACGAAAAGGAGAAGTCACAGTGCAGATCTAAATCATAAGAAAATATTAACTAAAATAAACTCTTCAAGGTTTGTAACTTTATCATCCATATTAGTCACAATGGTTTTATGGAGTGCATGCGTTTAGAGAATTCAAGCAATCCAAAATGATCAGAGAGTCTCTCTATGTGAAAATTCAAAATAGGCATTATATTAAGGCTTCAGTGAATGAGAAGACCGTTATAATTCCCGTGTGTGTTTTAATAGGATTAGATTAATTTTAATAGGAAGCTAATTTGAATATATATATATATAAATCGCTTCATTATCTCGAATGCAGAAATGCAAATATACTCCTGCTTTGCATAGAAGACGTGGTAATATCATTAACAGTAGTACTTGAGGTCAATAAAAATTTATAAATTAATTAAGAATTGTTAATAATATCACACTGGATAATTCTCGTTCTTCTATTATTCCAGGCGAAGAACCTTCTGCCCAAGAAGCGTCCAGGAGAGAGATATCAAGCACATATTGTTCCCCGACATATGGATCTGTTCCTTAATTTGGGAAATCTTCTCTCCAGAAATCATTCCAGGCTCGAAGAAGCCCAAGAGGTAGCATGTTTCTTTAAAATATTACTTTAGAATTTTGTTTGACACTTAAAATTCTTTTCTGATGTTTTTTCAGATTTTTTCTTAAAATCTAAAAGTAATATTTTAGAAACGATGCAAAAGTATGAAATAATTCATGTAAACTAAACGATTGATTTATATCAATAATTAATGCTAATATTCCTTAATAATAATAACAATTCAATGAGAAAGAAATCAAAAAAGACATAAACTGCAGAGGATGTTTTAATGCTAATATTCCTTAATAATAATAACAATTCAATGAGAAAGAAATCAAAAACGACATAAACTACAAAGAATGTTTTACACACTTTTAGAACGAATTCAATGCCGCTTAATTAATTTTAAAAAAGAAAAGAGTAGATTTTTAAACGCTAGATTTTATAGCCTTTTTTATCTGGACTATTATTCTGCTTCATGGTTTCCATGATGGAACATCTTTTCGTAAAATTTCCTGGGCTACTGATTTCTACTCCTCTTCCATTACTTTCAGAGTCTATCAGGAGTAGCTAGGTTCGCACTTATAAAGAGCTCTTCGCAAGATTCCAAAGGCAGCATAATCCGTGGGTGAAACGTCAGAGAACTTTGCAGGAATACTTTGAAAATAATATATATGCAATAGCTGTGTCATTCTTCATTTTTTCAAGGAATGCAGTGGTGCTTTCCGAAACATGATTTGTTGCTTTGTCTTGATGAAGTTTCATTCTAAACGTCATTGGGATAAAGAACGTTTTTTGTAAAATATCGGATCTAAATCTTTATCTTGATAGTACGTTAAATTGATTTTAACATTTTAAAATGTCGTAATTGAAAAATTTGAAAAATCTTTCGTTCATATAAAAAAGGTCACAATAAATTAATTTTTCTGAATTAAAAATTTCTTGAGAAAGTTAAGTTTTAAATTTATTAGTACTGATTAGTTTGTAATTTGTTTGAAAATAATTTACATTATACATTATTTTGAATTACTAGAGGGGTAAACAAGGAGTATCTTAAATAGCGGAGAACGTTATACATTTTCTAATGAAAAATAATTTCTTAAACCTAATGAATATTTATTGGTCTATTAAAAACGTAAGTTTAGAAATCTTTTCATCTGTTAAGTTATGTTCCTAAGCATAGCGCTTCTAATTCTTAAGTATAAAGTGTATGTGTGTGTGTGTGTGATATGGCAAAGCCTCGAGGGCTATCTGCCTAAAGGGAGGGGTGCCTTTCGTGGAGGACTTTCTAAGGGAAACTGGCTCGTATACACGTTACACATGGGGAAAACCACGAAAACGCCCATGCAGCCAGCCCGTTCGCGGGATTCGAACCTCGGACCGAACTACCAGTGTTCAGCGACTTTACCGCTCGGCCGCTGGTGGGCACTTAAGTATAAAAGTGATATTGGAAAATTTATTAAAGTGAATTGTTTAATACTTTTTAAAGCATGGCTTAAATAACGTGAAAGGTAGTAATAACAATTGTCAATAACATCTTAGGATAAAGGACTTCCCCCCCCCTCCAAACCTCCACACATGTCGCTCCACAAACTGTTTCTAAGTTGAATAAAATGAGTTTCTGTTCTTACTGTTTACTACGTTCGATTTCATAATGACTAGTATCAACATTTTGATCTTATAGGAAGTATACATTCTGAGCTTGAGCATCCAAGTCAGAAAATATGAAACTACCGTCAATAATGTTTTAAAAGCAAATGTCTGCTACAAAACTGCTACATTTTGTCCATACTCATTTTATATAGGTTAAAATTCAACAATATTTGTTAAATATGTATGTTGGTATAATATATATTTTCTAGATATAACAAATACCATTCTTCATATACCTTTATCCTCGTTAAATTGTTCCCATGGATTTCTATCATCAACAGGAACATGAAATGCTGTGGTATTGGAAGTAGATGAATTATTGCCATCCATGCGATGTCTTAAATGTATTTTTGAAACTGTGACAGTATTTCATTTGTAGAGCCATTACGTTCTTTTGAAGCAGGAGATGAAAAATGTGGAATGCCCTGTTAAAAAGTAGGGGCATACATTATATGCCCCTGCTTTATAAAGGATAGTTGAAGAGGAAGGCACCCAATCGCCAAATTCTGGAGATGACGAATTATCATCCACCACCTTTTAGTTCGAGCGCCATTTATAGAGGCATTAGGCGTTTTTTTAACAGGAGATATGAAAAAAGTTCAATGACGAAGCCTGGATTATTACACTGGACCTCCAGATGACACCACGAAAATTGGTTTTTCAATTACACTGTGAAAGCACGTGGTAACATTGAGGAAAACATCTTAAACATTATTCATCTGTGCGAAGAAATGACTCAGTATGTTTTTTAATATTATTTTGATATTTCTCAGTAGTAGCAAGACTGTAGTAAAATCTAATAAAGAAATTAACGAAGTCTTATTTCGAGTAACAGGAAATATTTCGCAGCTATGAAAATAAACTAAACGTTATTCTTTCCATAAAATACTTATTTCGGTATTCCTATATAAGAAATATTTTTATTTACATTAAAAAGCTCTATTAATTGCAATAATTTCTGTATTTATTCATCTAACAGGCATTAACGATTCAGTTAGTGTGTTTGTGGAATTATTGCATCTTATACTCTTTTTCAGTTGTACCGGGAAGCCATCAGTATGAAAACTGACTATGTAGATGCCTACATACAAAGAGCAAGCGTCCTTCTGAAGTTAAACAGGTATACATAAATTCTGTGTACTGAATGATTTATCTATGAATAAATAAGGATATTTTCGAGTAAGAATGATATGACTTGGTGGAGCTAGGAATATTTGTTTTAATTATATGTAAATGATATTTGATCTGTTCTATCTTTGAATAATTACGTTTAAAACTATTCCACCCCCCTCAAATCATCACATTTGCTCAAATACACACAGTTGCATATAAAATAAGAAAATTGTGAAAATCCTTTTAGGAAATAAATTTTTTTAATTTTAAAAATAATTTACAATTTGAATTAAATTTCCCCAAAGAAATAGGCTCAATGTTCAGTTCTCTTTAGTAAGCTTGCAAAGCTTTTTCTTAAGTCCAAACGGGCGTTAGCTCAGAAAGGATATTAGTCTCAAAACGGCATTTTGCGTCGAATGACTAAAAGTGTTAAATCAATCTTCAAATTGTTGCCTCCAAATATTATCGCCCTACATTATACTTAAAGAAATTAAACAATAAAGAATCTGCAAGAATGTATGTATGTTTTTCGCACCGTGAAAAAGCAAAGATACGTAATGCCATTAAATTTGATTAACGTTGCCCGCTACACGAGTATGAAGCTCAAATTTTGAATTTCAAATTTTATATTTCCTATTTTGTAAAACTTGAATGAATTTTTAATTAACGAACCCAACGATTTGAAATCAGCGGCAACACTATAAGGAATAAAACATTTTATTTTTGTTTTTTGTGATTTTGATGTTGAATTGAATTTTATGTGTCGTAATTGCAAACAACATCATATTTAATAAATAAAGTTATTACGAAATACGTTAATAATAGAAGATAAAAAAAAGTATTTGCCACCTTCTCTGTTCACCTCCACGTTCTGTTAGCCACCTTACTCACAGAACTGAACATTGATGTGAACTGAGAAAATACTGAAAAAAAAAAAAAAGATTATGTTTAAAAAAAATCTGAAAGCTTTCAGATTTTATATTACGCCCAAAGGGGCGTTTTTTTAACACTCTGTGTGTTACCTTTATTTACTAAATGTCATGTTCTTGGCACATAAGCTCTAAAATTCCATTCAACAGCAATATCATAAAATATTTAAAAAACAGAATATCTTTAGAATTTCCGATTCACAGTCTAGCGCCCTGGAGATAACTTTTCCCCCTTACAATGTTGCCATTCCTCGCTTTGAAGTCGTTGAGTTTGTTAATAAAAAATTAGTTTTAGTTTTACAAAATATGAAATAGATAATATGTTATTAAAAAATAATTTTAGTTTTACAAAATATGAAACAGATAATAAAACAAAGGTAATAAAATGAATTCTAAATTTGGACATCCAGATGCCCATATTCGAGTGGAGGACTATGTTATTCAAAATTTGATGTCTCTAGGTACCGTTGTTTTTCACAACACGAGAAACATGTAGACATTCATGCAGCTTCTTCATTATTTAATTTCTTTAAATATAATGCAGAGCTTTAATATTTGGTGGCAACAATCTGAAAAGTGAAACGCCGTTTTATAGTGAAAGACGTAAAATTCCAAAACGAAATTAATAGCGCTTCTGGGCAAATTGCCCTTTTGGGCTATAAAATAGAAAACTGCAGGCCAACACTTAACCCTGCATCTTGAATTCTAAATATATGCTGCTATGGTGCTTTTAAAAGTTTTGTAATTTTGCTGTTGTAAGTGAGAAGTAAATATTGTTTAAAAATAAAGCTAAAAAGACAAAAAAAGAAATGGGTTAGTAAGAGTGAGTGCAACAGCAGACTGTATATTACGAGCTTAGCGTAAAAAACCTTAAAATATCCTTTTGGGCTATCGTTAAAATCTAAACCCTTTAAGGTTTTTTTTAATGCATTTTGAGTAAAATACGACATTTTTTATTCTAGATCTGAAGAGGCCTATAATATGTATAAAGAAGCACTGAAGCACGACCGTATGAATCCGGATATATTCTATAATGTAAGTACATTTGTGGACGGTTCGGTATATTTTAGGCTTAATTTCTAATTTCGAAGGCATTGAATGTTTTTCTTGATTTGCATAGATCGGAGTGTTGCTTTTAGAACAAGGAAAATCACTGCAAGCATTGGCTCGGTTTGATCAAGCTCTGAAGCTGGATCCAGAACACGAAGTTAGTATTCAAATTTTGGCTTATGTAGATCTTACTTTGAGTGATTACAATGCATGTGTTATTAAGTGAGATACAAAAATATAGTATAAGATAGCTGTAAGTTCGTAAAATCAAAGATGCTTACGCATACGTAACGTTAGAAATATCGGTAAGCGCTAGCCTCCACGTAAATTGCGTTTATGGAAGCTTTTTTTAAAATGGTAAACAGTTTCTTTGTAATGCAATTGAGTACCTATGAAATTTTTCTTCCGCATTGGTGAAAACATCAACATTGACGTAAATTCAATATCAGCATGACCAGATCGTTATCTTACTGCTACTGAATGATCGCTATTTATTTTGAAGCAACGTGAATGCACTATATTCTTCTTTAGAAATTCTTCTGTGAAGACAAAATTTACAAACGAAATAGCTCTCAAGTGTTCTATTTATAGAATGTGACAACTATTATAAGTTTTGCTAATGATTACTAAGTTAATATAATGTTAAGTTTTACTAAAATAATGACTAGTAATTATTTTAAGTTTTACTAATGCTAGTTACTTTTAAAAGTAAATTTTAATTAAGCATTGTCCTACTTTCCCTTTAATTAATATCACACATATTTGCTGGGATTAGTTAAAAGAACGAGAAAGAAAATAATGTTAACTTCAACTTTTGCCTAATGAAGTAAAAGGTCGCCGTGCCGATCTGATAATTAGCTCTAGTTCTGTTTTCAAGAGATATTATTCATCACAGGCAGCACTGATTCCCGTTTTTAGCTCGAAACTGGTAAATACTTTTTAATACTTAAAATATAATACTTTTTAAATAGAATTTTGTTTGAAAAAAATTTGATTTTGTTAATTGTAACAATGCAATGCCGGGGAGGGACAGAGAAAAGTGAAGAGCACCAGAACTTTGTTGGTGATTTTACAGGTATTGCTCCGCCGCACTACAGTACCTACTGGCCGCACAGTCGGCCCGCCCTAGACGTTGGCCCAACAAAATATTTCACAAATATTCTTCACAACAATGTTAAACATTTTCACACTGAATTCGCAATAACACGTAAATTATATAAGTAGAGTAAGACCCCGCTTAACGCGGAGGATACGTTCCATCAAAGTAGAGCGTAATGCGAAACAGCGCTAAACGAGGCTATCTTTACATGTAAATATTGGGGTTAGGGGAAGATGGCTAGGAAATTGGTTAGGTATTAAATTTAAAAAGTATGTTTTTTTAATAAAAATAAACCAAACATTTATTTCTTAAAGCCCTAAATTAATACCACATTATTATTTCTTGAAAAAATAAAACAAAAAGATAAATATATAAATAACAAAACGAATATTCTTAAAAAAAACAAATAAAATTCTAAGTCAGTCATATTTAGTTAGCCTTCCGCTTTCTCAGTGTTCTGCCTTTTTGTGACAAAAGCATCTAATGTTGTTTGCCTTTTTCTTTTGCGTTGTTCTCTTAAAAGTTCTTCATAAAGGGATAGAGCATCTCTAACACCACGCCTTACTTTTGAGCTCCTGTCAAAATTCGGATCATTTTCAATGAATTGATCCATTATTTCAGTTATGGTAGACAAACTCCTTTTTACAAACGCCATCGAAAGTTCTTTTTGCTCTTCTTCTGAATCACTGCTGTCAACATTTTTGTTTTCTTCTGGTTCAGTTAATTCCTTGAGCTCATCATTAGAAAGACTAGCCGCTGCTTCTTGAATTATTTCTTCGACATCTTCCACATTTACCCCTTCAAAATATGTCTGTACAATACCACACCAAACAAGAAATACAAGTACACTCTTTCGGATATGTATTTGAAACGAGATATGTATTCGAGCGATTTCGTGGAATCCCCGGGTTGAAATAAAAGAGCGCTAAACCGAAACAGCGCTAAACGAAACAGCGTTAAGCGGGGTCTTACTGTATAAGCTACACAATATTTGCAATGATCTTACCATATGGATATATTATTTACATAGAATTACAATAAAACCTCAAGTCTCAGCATATATCACAATGCTACGCTGCAACATACAGGCTAGATACGGCTAGCTGTTTAAGCTTTTGACTAATTGTTACCATTAACAGTTTATGACTAACTGCTACTATTAACAACACTCCAGTGTAATTCGTCAAATTGTTAACATTATTATCGAGAAGTAATTGATTTTTTTACTTTGATACTTTAGCTATAATTCGTTAAGGGCGGACAAATAAAAGTTTTCATGAACTCTCCGACTACTATTAGATGAGCATACTTTAAAAATAGTTGAATAGCAGAGTTATAATACCAACGTATTAACCTCATTAATGTAGAGACTTTAAATAGGATACAATATCTTGATAATTTGTAAAGAATCAAATGATATTAAATTATCAAAATCTAACCATGAAAAAAGAGACTTAAACGATGAATTTCTTTTAATATTCTTACAAAATGAAATTTTAGTACAAAAGTTCAGGATTTCAATTTTATGAAGATCTATGAAACAAAGGAATTAAATTTATGTCTGTGATAAAAACGGGATTTTATTTCTAAATTTAGCTCTAAAACATAAAATTAGGCAATAAATCAACCCTAAGTTGGATGTTGATTTTATATAAAATTGCGATATTGTGTTTGTTTCCTATAAAATCATTGTCATCCTAAGGTTTGTTTCTACCTAAATTTATTTCCATCTAACTTCATATATGGCATTGACACATGTGCTTTACATGCATCAGTTATTAATTCTTATAAAAATATTTATCTTCTCATCCACGATTTTATTTTCTAAACAATTTTTTATTTATTATTTTTTTATTGCGATTGGAAGTGCTCTTTAACTTCTCGTCTCGAGTCATATTTTATTTAGTATTGTATTCAATAGATGGCAGCACCAGCGACTTTGTTTCCATTTTCGGAATTGAGAATTCGCTTCTGAGTTTTAAAATTCAATTATCGTAACAATAAAATTTATTTATTTTAATTAAATTCATTTAAGCCAAGAAAGAAAATTCATTAAAAACAATTTTAAAATTTAAATTACATGATTTTCGAAAATGGCATCTTGTTTACCAGCTTTTTTATTCGAAAAGTAAAATAACATTTTTTAATATTTTAGTCAGAAAACTGCACAGTTGGGATTTTAATCCAGTAATGTCTAATGAGAGTTGCAGATAAAAGCACCAACAAAGAGCTTTTATAAATGTTGTAAATTGTTTTTAGTTTTAAAATTAATAAATAAATATAAATAAGTATAAGATTGAAAAAAGAAAAGGAAGAAAGAAAGAAAAAAACAAAGGAACATTTTCTGAATATCTTTAATTATGCAGTTTAATAGCAATAACTAGCTTAATAAATAATAATAATCAGTAAATTATTAAATGCTAATTTTGCCTCTTACATCTGATTGAATACAAAATTTCAAATAAAACGAACTTGATTCGTTAATTAGTCTTATATTAAACATCAAGTGTAATTTCTACAAGTTTTTTTTTTTTTTTTTTTCCCATTCACTAGTTTTCTGAAAGTATATTTTAACAATTTATTTTGTCGAATGACTTTTTTATTTAAGACTTTCGAATAACTATTTTCAGAAATCACTTTTGAATTATGCCATTTTAACTCAAGATTCTGGAGACTCAAGCCTAAGACGATTAGCTCACGAACGGTAGCTAAACTTTTTATATTCCATTTTAGCTTCTTGTATTTTACAAGCTTTAATTTAAAACTGAAATTAAATATGATATGTACTGCATGATGCACGTTTGTTCTACACTAATGGTAAAAATTATGGCTATAGAGTATTATATTCCTGCTGAAATATATTTTAATAATGTAAGACAATGCTGCTGAGAAATTGTTTCGTTCCAATGGTGTGTTTTAATAATGCAAACCCACAAAATTCAGTACCATTCCTTATTTTATTTATTCAAAATTTAATACACCATTATGCTAAAAATTTCACTTAAAATTTAGGCAGCCAGGAAGACGAAGAATAATGTAAAACAATTCATCTATACCCTCGAATGGGATTTTAACCATGGATCTTCCATTTTTCAGCTGGACGATGTACTAACTACTTAACATAACAAGAGCACGCACAGAAAAATGCGATAACGCCTTCTAATGATATTTAATTTGATGGGTTACAAATATTTGCAAGCAGTACATTTGACAGAATTATTTAGATATAAAACTCCTCATGCAACATATTTTTTTTTAATTATATTGGTAAGATTACATAGACAGTTAATTCCCGCTACAATGATGTTTGCAGTAATTGACTGAAAAACAACAGAAAGTTCAATCGTTCCTTTTTATTTTAATCATTCTGCAATAGAAATGGCTGCTTTTGTTGAGATATCAAAACAGAATTCCAGTGAATTTGGAGTCTATTAACCACTTTTAATAATAATTTATATTTGTTGAAGAAAAATCTAAAATTTTGTTAAAACATAGAGTTTTCAAATAGCTTTCATTAATTGTGTTAATATTTCAGGTTGCAAGGAGTAATCAAATGAGAAAATACTATTTTTAATGTAATTAAAATAGTTTTGCGCATTTAATTTATATTCAAAAACATTTCCTATTATCACCTTACATTATTATAATTAGAGAAGCAATTTTATCGAGGGAAAATGGAAAAATTCACTTTGCAAATACGGGAGAATAGCAAAATTTCGCGAAAACGTCGCGGCTTCAGATCTACATTAATAACTCTGTGAAAACATCCGCGGCTAAAGACGTATTCTAACATTTTAATGGGGAAGAAAATATTCCATATATAAAAACAACAATATAAATAATGGCATATAATTCTAAACTCATTATATCATACGTTTTTAAGTTTGAAACATATATCACTAACGTCATACACGTCAAGCATCCAAAAAAACACTGTTTCGAATAATTAAAAGACTGGCATGACCTTGGTTTCGAAAAAATTCAAGTTCTGCGTAATGCTTCATAAATGTTTATTCCTTAGAGTATGTATCTGTTTCTTTTAGCATAATGTAAATTATCGGAAATTTAAATAGAAAACGAATTTTTAGTTTAAATGATGAAATATATAAATTTGTGTGTAGATGTAGTACCGATGGTTGATCAATCAGCCACATTTTACCATTGCAGTTTGCACCAGATATCAGATAGTGTTTTGATACGTCGAACTGTACATATGCGGACTTTATTGTTATTATTATTATTATTATTATGTAACAGGCTTTTAACTTACAAAAAGATCGCTAACGTAGAAACTGTTTCTCGGTGTTGACAACTTAAGATGACTTTAATCCTAGCTACAGCCTTGCCTTTAATAAAATGAATTAAGTCTTTCCGCTTATATAGAAATGTTTTATTAATACAGATGACACTCCATATAACAGTCTTCTATATTCTAGAGAAAAAAGATTGGTATAATAGTTGATAATTATAGTAAAAAGGATTTACGAGGATGCTTTCACAGTAGGACCTTTTGTACCGATCTTTATAACGGAATGAACTCTATAGCGTGTAGTGATTATATGAGCGTCAACTATATTACTCTGTCGTTTCTGCTTCTGTTACTGTTTCATTCGCTGAAAGCAATATCAAATTTCATTTTGGAAAAAGATTAGATATCAAATACAGTTTGCCTAACACCTATTTATCACGTGAAAAACGGAATTGAGTGATTTCAAATAAAGGTTCATTCAACTAAGTTCTGCAATTTATACTCGAATAAGTTAAATATAGTAGAATGGATAGACTCTCTGCTAACTTTTAATATTAAATTGCTCACTCTGAAAGCGTTTTTGCGTTTTTTTAATTATCTGTTTCTTTTATTTGTTACCATGTGTGTCCAAAAGTATTATAAACCTTGAAATATAACAGATTTCTTTACATTCAGTTTCGTTTTGCCCATTTTATGATAATTTTAAACAAATATTCATTTAGAAATGACTGAACAAAAATGAGCTTGAAAACAAATATTTGTCAGAGACATTTGCGAAATGTATATTCTCTCAGTGTCACTGTATCAAATAATGTAATGTGAGCCATAACTTTAATTTTATTGGCTATTGCTTTATTACCCGTGAAATTCATAGCATAACTTATTCCCTATGATCGAAACCATCTGCTTATGAAGCTGCTTTTTTTTTTATTCCCATATAGCTTGCAGGTGTTACTGGAAAAAGGGCGACAACCTGAAAGGACGTATTTTAATATGGGGATGCTGGCCATGCAGGACAGAGACACAGTTCGAGCGGAGAACTACTTCAGAAAGGCATTAGAGGTTATTATCTGAAACAAAAATTGTTTCTTGAATTTATTTATTGCTTATTTATTCTCACTCGGTTTATTCTAAACATTTTTTTTTATAAAAACACACAAAATATTTTTTTCAAATTCAAATATAAAAACTTTCAAATTGAAACATTCAAATTAGGTACAAAACCGGAATTATTTCATGTGGTTCGCCTTTAACTGACAAGTTAAAAAAGTCTGATGTGTGTACCACACGACTTCCTTGTACGGAATATTAAATTATACGCATTTTTTCTTGCATTTCGTTTAAACTTATTGGATTGAATTAAATCTCTTTCGTCGATATTCTATTGCATAAACCACAATAGAATAAACGCATTCTTTAAAATTCACTATTTTTATAGCGACACTCTGGCGCTAGGTTCACTTAAAAGCGTTATATTTCGTTCATATTATAACTCAGAATGCACAAAATGTATATCATTTGAAGAATTATTTAATCGTTGCCACATGTTCTATTCAATTATTATAATAAATCTAGAACGATCTATAAAAGAAATTAAGCAAACAAAACAAAAAAGAAACAGCTTTCACAAACGATTGAGTATTTCTCATTCAATTAATTCAGTTCTCACTTCGCGACAAGGCAAAAATACATAAAAACTCAAAATATCTATATTAAAAATTATGAAGTAAATCTTAAACACGTATTTCCTCGAAAATATTTCAGAAAGGATTAAGCATGATTTATTTCGCAATAATAAATGAAGGCGTTATTTTTGTTGTTGCGAATCTTAGTCTCTCTAGATTGGCAACAAATCTACTATTCAGCTATTTCAAATGTAAACAAACATATCCGCCATGTTATTTAAAAATTAGGCTTAACCGCACTTAAACAGCTTTTAAATTGTTGATAATTCTACAAATATTGCTTGCAGATTTCCTAAAGGCATAAAAACCTTGACCGGAAGATAAGAACAACATAATTCAATCATTTTTAAAGCAAAAAATGCACAATTTACAAACATATAAGAGTAAAGAAACTGAGATCACTGAGCCGGGTAACAGAGTGGATGTATATATAAATATATTTATATACGTTTAGTGCGAGCCGATTGCAACCAAAATTCGAGGTGCACATCTACATGTTATAGCAGTCCTATATACAAAATTTTAACGTTCTGAGGCTACTCGTTTTTGAGTTATGCGAGATACATACGTACGTACAGACACCACGAAAAATTCTCTTCAGAATTCATTTTAAAGAAGTTTTATAATTTTTGTTGGAGAGAAAGAGTCTTTTATTCTGTCCTTACATACAGATGTCACGCAGAAACATTGTTAAATTGCATTCGATACCTGTCAAAATGGATATTTTCGTTGAAATATACTGCCTGAAACTTTTCGCGATTACAATACTTCCTTTTTACTTCGTACAAGGAAGTAAAAAAGAACTACCTATAGCTCTGAGCAGCAGAATGTCAGTGATGCCTCATGAGAATCGTGTATGAAATGAGCCGTAGTGAGAGAGGGAATCGGTCCCTTCATGAATTTGTCACTTTTCTATCCTGTTGGTCACGGCGCGATGTGGATTTATCACATCACATCATGATCGGACCCTTGGAGGAAATGCATGGTTCTGCTATTCAAACTGTTAATGTGACGGGTGCGAGGGACGCTGATATTTAACAGAATGGTGTTACCCTAGTCTGGCTGATAAAAGCCTGTTGGAAGGTATGACTTTTACGCAAGATGGCGCTCCACCCCATAATGCTGCACGTGTAAAACATCTGTTGCACACATCGTTTGGTGAGGATTGCGTGCTGAGCCGCCACTTCCGTCATGCTTGGCCTCTCAGGTCCCCAGATCTCAATCCTTGTGATTATTGGTTGTGGAGTTACCTGAAATCGCCAATCTACCGCTATCGTCGACCTCATTAGGGATGTTAAAGACAACATCCTGACAGGCAATTCCTCACCGTACGTACTGATATGCTGTATAGTGCTTTTTCCAACGTTATCCCTCGTCTACAGGTATCATAGATAACGACGGCCGACATGTTGAAAATTTGTTATAACGAATATAGTCTTTGTTAAAAACTAATTGTTGCTTTTATTACCTATAAAGTGCCATCTGTTGGACATTTTAAGCACTTTTTCTTGCTTTCAATAAAAACGTATGACATTTCAAGCATGTGTGTCAGTTTTTACCTCTCTGCCTACATTATTCAGTGATTATTGAATTTGCAAATGTTAACATACTTTTGGGTCACCTGGTATATTGGCGGTCAGCTTAACCTGGGGGTACTAAATGTGCTAGAAAGCATGCGCATTCGCCGCAAAATACAGTTCTTTAAAAAAATATGAAATTAAACACATAAAATTCTATTCTAAATTGTATTTCTTTTTTAATTCCCCCTCCCCTCGCGTCCTGACAAACAATAGGAATACCGCAAAAAATCGTTACTCAAACACCATCCCGTGCTGCTCACTAAAAAACCTATTTGACCCGTGGGTAAAAGTATTTGCCTATCCCTGCTTTAGGGAATATGAATATCGGTGATCCTCAATACCAATGTTTATTCAGTTCTCAGAGACACTTACCATTTTTAGAGGTGGTCGCAACAAGATGTTTCATTGTACTGATTATTGAAATATTTGTTATGTTACTGCAGTTGTTCTTGACAAGTGGATTTCAGTTATTAAAAACATAAAAACATAAAGATTGAAAGAAATATGATTGTTTCCATTACCAAAAGCATATCGTTCCATTTCTTTTAATTTGATTTTTAGACTCAAGCAATTATTTAATTTTACCGATATTTTGTATTTTTGTGATTGCAACACTGCAGTATTTTAATAAATCGTTTTTGTCAATTATTTCTTCTTTCCTGGTTTGTTATTAATTAATTCTTAACCAAAATATTTTCCTTGAGAAATTAAAACAAATACAATAGATGCATTCACACCGTTCTAAATAATGAACACCAGCAGAAAAGCAAGTTGATGAACTGCACAATGTTTCTGACACATACGCACTGTTCTTAATGATTAACAGCCATTTCTTTCACGTGCTTGCATTTGCCAATATGTTTAAAAGGTGATTCATTTCATAGTCTTAAAATAATTCAACTCCATTACCTATTTCTGTACACATAAAAAGAGTATTTAAAAAATAGTTTTTTTTATAGATCTCGCGAGTTGACTAACACACATACTCTAAAAGGACGTTTATTTGACTTTTTAATATATTTCTGATTACGTCATATTTGTCCTCATGTTCATTTGGAACTGCATTTAAAAAGTTCGTGTCCAGTGTATTTAAAAAATTTGGGAATATTTAAAGAATATGGGACATTTCGTGGGGCACATTCTTAAGCAATGTCTAAATGTCTGGTCACTTTACATTAATGGATTAGATTAAAGTATTTAATTAAATAGCCTTCTAGATTTGAATTTCTAGTCGAATTCAGACTCGCCTACGCGAGAATATTAATTAGCATTCGTACACGTATCAGCCTTTTTCTTTCTACTGAGATGATTTTAATAATCATGAGTTCCTATAACACATGTGCTTTTGCAAATGCAAGTAGGATGCCAGAAGCGTCATCTAACTGTGAGCAACATCAATTCGCGGCAACACTTCGCGGTACTGTTGTGAACTAAATTTGTCCACCACTATATACGAATGCATATACCAAGAAAAGAAGCATAGTTTTCATATACTGATTCTTTTTTATTCTCAAATATGAAATTTAATATGGCGCGTAGTCTAAATCATTTCGTGATAGCAATCCGTAAATCGAAGTTCCGTGAAATTAATTGAGATGAGAAAATGAAAAGAAATAAAAAATTACATGAAATCTCAAGTCAATAATTCGAAAACAGGTTACTGCTATGGGAAAAGTACAGAAGCTTCCCTTCGGGGTGCGCTTCCCTATTTGACAACAGCATCTATCTTAGAGATCGTAGAGAACAAGGAACGCGAAAAAGAAAAAAAAAAAAAAAAAAAGAAAGAAACTTGATTAATTAATCTTGTAAAACTCAAGGCTACCGTGTAAGGGAGACTGTTATCTGAATTTTTTCCCCTCTTTTAGTTGAGAGGAGATTTTGATGCGGCCCTCTTCAACCTAGCTCTCGTCTTGTATGAGAAAGAGCGCCCCCTGGAAGCCGTGCCTTACTTGAAGAGATTGAAGGGGAGTCATCTGAAAGGGCTTGTCTTGCTGGGAAACATCTACTTCAATGATCTCAATAACTATACAGCTGCACAGCAGGTGAACCTTTTTTTATATGTAAAACTCCAAGTAAAACAAGTGGTAATTCTACTCCATAAATAGGCTACCAGAATCAAGAAAAAAAGTATATGGTTCCTAATTTGCATTGTAAAAAACTTTTTTTTTTCCTAAATAATGATATAAAATAATACGTTCATTTTATACGAAATGGAAAGTGGATAAGGAATTTTTCAATATTATTTAAATTTTTAAAAATTTAACATCTTCTCAAGCTGGCATTCTAATAAAATTACATAATATCAACACTTCTTTTTGAAATTCACGTACAGTATAAGACTATTAGAAATCAATTTTGAACATCCTTTGAAGATAGTTTCAATCATTTATGTTTTCCTGATTTAACAGAAGCATAATACAAGTTTTTATGTTGAACAAAAAACTACGTGTGTAACAATAATATTTTTATGTGTTTTAAGTGTGTAATAATAACTTTTATGTGTGTATCTTAGTTAAAGATTTACTTTTAAGATAAATACGATTACCTCCTGCGCTACGTAAGCTCTGAACTCACAAAAGTAAGTTAACGAAGAAAAAATAAGAAATAAATTCAAATTACAAATTTTTGCAAAATTAATTTAATTATTTTCAAATAATCAAGTTAACAATTTATTTGGCCAGAATTAAAAAAAGTCTTCTATTTGTTCCAAAGGCACAAACCCAGAGAATCAAGTGATTTTCACCATGTATAACGTGTATACGAACAAGTTTCCCTTAAAAAGTCCTCCTCGAAGGCATCTCTTCCCTTAGGTAGGTAGCCCTCGAGACTTCGCCTTAATCACATAAACCAAACTCAATCACACGAGAGAATCAAAGGCAAAGTAGTAGAAAAACAAATGTGTCTAATCTTATGGCTCGCATTTAAGGTTATACCTCTGAAAGGTATAAACTTAAATGCTTTAAGCAACTGGCAAAAGCTAAGTTACCACGTGCGGTAAAGCTAAATTACCATGCGTGGAAATAATTTGCATAATTTTTATGTGTAATAATTGCTTTAATGGAAAGCGGGAAATTTTTCTGTTTTCCCAGATGTGATAAATTTATTATTCCTGTGATATCTGATAAATAATGCGAAAGGACTGATAACTTCATGCGAACAGATTGCTTTTGGGAATCGCAATATTAGTTATCAGGTTCAATATTTCTTCTAACCTTCTTCGGAAACATACAATGACCTACTAGAACAGAGAGCTTACTAAAGCTATGTTCACTAATTGTAGTAAGTAGACAGGATACAGACGAAGGGTATACAAAACCCTTTATTTTTTTCTTTATATACAATGACTTCCGTACTTCGGAATACAATGACCCTCCACTCGGGGTCTAACTTAAAAGATATCAAAAATAAAACTAAACTCTAATTTAACTTTAGAATAAGATTGGCCTTATAATAACAGGAAGCGTATGTATCACAGAGACTGTGAACACTACAATACGTTTAATTTATCAAGAGGATTAAAACCTCTGGCCTGGAAGGCAAAGTAGCAACTGCGTAACTTCTAAGGTAAGCGGCCTGCTTCGAACTCACGGCTTCCTCTCTTCTGCTTGGCAAAAAGGCCACACTTAAATACTTGGCGTTCGCCAGACAACTTTGCATAAAACTCCTTCACGCTTATAATTCTGGCCGGAAGTAGAAAATAAGAAGTGATAGTAAAGATTTAAAATAAAATAAACGTTAGTAAAACTTAAGATCCTTACATACTTCCCGCCAGAGTTAATTAGTTTGAAACTGAGGTCTAAAACGACCTTGTTGAAAACTTTTAGCTCTAGAAACTAACGCGAGGCCAACCTTTTACAATCATAACTTAGCTAGAAACTAGAAAATTTAAAAGAAAGAAATTTGTTACAATAGCAGCTCCCGGAATATACAACAATCTTTTTCTTTTTCATCTGTACTGCATCTAAACAGGAGCTTTATTCAATTCTGGTTCCTTCCAGAGATCTGGAAGGAAAACTAGTTTAATGAAATGTTACAGAATGACATTGCAAATAACATATAGAATATACTTTTCTTAACATTCTTATTTCATTCATGACTATTTTAATTATCTCTCCCCGTGCTCTCTGACATGTGTTGTAAAAACACCAAACACGAATGTGTTTCTGTCTATGTGTTCAACACTTCCTCCTACAATCAAAACACTAACGTGTTAAAATTCAACATACGAGACCTCTTAACACACCCTAATTTCAACTCTAGACCCTGAGGTACTATTCTGAAAGTGGCTAACTCTAAAGTGTAGCGTCAGAGAGCCTAACTACATCATTCAACCTTTAACACATATTCACCATGATTTAATCTTTACAGTCACACGAATAACAAATTTTTAACATTACTTTCACTTTTACCATATCACGGTATTTCTAAACATTCAAAATAACAGTTCACATGTATACAAGACATATCAAGATGCCGTTAATTTTACACATTTGAAAAACATACATTAGTAGTACATTGTTAACTTCTATTCTTTTCAAAGCAAGTGCCAATTCTTTCTACATTGAAATAATACTACATTTCAAAAAGTCTTTCAGACTAAAACTTCTTTCTTGTTAGAATGTTTTAAATAAAATTTATACAATAACTTTTTACAATATTTAAGTCTTTATACAACGCTATTATACATCAACTTTAGTTTTACGCGCGAGTAATTGAAAAACATAATAAGAAAATCGGTCACAACTCATTTCTCGCCCTTTTGGCGATAAAGGTAGACCTCGCATGAGGTAAAACTTCTTGAAATCTGCCACTTGCAGTAAGAATGAAAGATTAACTTAAGTTTGTAAAGTAACATAAAATTTTACTTATCTTTGTAATATTCAGACATCCTTTTCTGGGCCCAGTCTTTAAAGGTGCTGCAGACCGTAGCTTGGTTGATCCTCCTTCTTGTACGGGCTCGCCCTTCAGTGCTTTCCTCTGGAAGCTACCGTTTTTCACCACTACGGCCACCTTGAACATCTTCCTTCTGTCCTCTGCTTGTGGTCTTGGCCGTTTGAAGGCAGCTGGTCTTGGTGGAACCGGGAAACTTCTGTCGTGATCCTGCTTGGACCTCGTTGTTGGCCGTTCAAATTTTTCTTGTACTTTTTCCTCCGCCGCTGATGGCCCTTCCGCAGTTCGGCGACTTTTGCTGCGGAGAGTTCTGTCGGATGAGTCATCTTCCGTTTTCACAGCCGGGTTATAGTTGCCGTCCTTTCTCCGGTCTTTTTCCACATACGTCGTCCTTCTCCCTTCTTCATTCTGGGGGTGTTCGTGAACTCTGTTTTTCTGGACGGTGGAACGGCTTCTTTTTCTTTTTACCTTCATTTTTCCGCGGGGGGCAATTTTCTTTTCACTTGCTTCTGTCTCTCATTGGCTTGCCCTTGTACCTGTCGTTTTCCCACCTCTGGAACTTGTACCTGCGGTGTCTGCCGTACCGGATCCTGCAAAAGATCTGAAAAGATTTGCATTTTATTACGATCGAAGTAGGGCTTGATTTGATCAATGTTTGCGGAACAGGTTTCACCATTTCTGCCTTTAACACTACAACAGCGTGAGTTATTTTTTCTATAACATATGGTCCTTCAAAGCGTGGAAAAAATTTGGCAGTTTTATCTTCTGGTGCTGAAGAAAGTGAATGCTTAATTTTTAGTACTTCATCCCCTACTTTATAAGTTACTCCCCGTCGTTTCAAGTCATAATACAATTTTTGTTTTCTTTGTGCTACTTCCGTATTCTTTTTTGCTTCTTTTATTAGTTTTTCTATATCACCCATTTTAAATTCTGGGGCTCTTTGTTGCACATAAAATAGTTTATCTAACGGTGTTATAACCTTTCTGCCTAGAAATAACTCAGCAGGAGTTTTGCCCGTTGTATCATGTTTTGCGGTCCCTAAGGGCGAAAGCAAATTCATTGACATAGTTATCCCAGCTTTTATGAAAATTTTTTAACATAACTACGGATAATTTTCACTATATTTCTGTTGACCCGTTCCGCTATATTTGATTGCGGCCGATACGGGACCATTTTTAAATGACGTATGCCCAGTTTTTGGCACATGTCTTCAAATATATTACTTACAAATTGAGGACCATTATCCGATATAACTTTTAGGGGCGCCCCGTATTTTAAAATATATTATTTTAAAATAGAATCGGTAACTAATTTCGCGGAGGCTCGTTTTAAGGGAACAATTTCGGTCCATTTACTAAAATGATCAACCATAACAAGGAGATAGCGACTTTTATTTAACTGACTTTTGGGAAAGGGCCCAATAAATCGATGCCGATTATTTCATTTGGAAATTCGGATTTAATACTATTTAGAAACCCGGCCGGGCGGAAATTAATATAATTAACGGCTTGACATGTTGGGCAGGACTGGACATACGCCCTTGTTAACTTTTGCAGTTCAGGAAAGTAGACTGCCTCGCGTACGCGTTGAGTAGTTTTTCGAATACCAGCATGAGAAGCTAAAGGGCTGTCATGGAGCTCTTGCAGGATATTTAATCTAAGACTAGCTGGGATAACAGGTCGAAATTCGTTGTTGGAATTCGTAGTTTTTGTATAAAAATAATAGACCATCTATTAGTTCGTAATGGGCCGCCCTATTTCTTATCGCCACAATATCTTGGTGGCTAAAAATTTTCAGGATCCTTCAAATACTCATAAATACTTCCAAACTCAGGATCCTTACCCAGTTCGGTTATTACAGTTTCTCGGGAATTTATTGTACACGCTGTCAGCATTGCAACTTTTACGGTATTACCTGTTCGTCTAATTTAATTCGTGACAGGGCATCTGCTACGATATTTTCCTTTCCGGGGGTATGCTTGATTACCAGATTATATTCTTGCAGCTTGAGTGCCCATCTTATTAACCTTGGGGATAAATTTTTTCCCAGAGTACAATCTAGTTACCGCCGCATGATCAGAATATACTGTTATCGGCGCCTTTCCAAAAATAGACTCGGAACTTTTGCACTGCTAACAGAACTGCAAGTGCCT